GAATGTAAGACCAAAGGCCTTACCAAATGCTCCAAGGAGCTGACTGCAGCGAAGAACACCCGGGAAGGAACACACCGGACAAGTTGGAAAGTGAAACAGACCTTAGTCTGGCCAGACGGCACTCCCAAAGCAAAGTAGCTTAGAGAGGCATAGTCCAGAGTCCGAGGCTCTTTTTATAGGGGCTTGCAGGGGAGTTAACAGGCGAAATTTACAGAAGAAGGAACAAAGGTTTAGTGGTCTTACATTTGTATATTAATTAGCCTGACTTGTACTGTTAGTCAGCAGATGCTTTGTAGATTGGTCTATAGATAGTGGTGTTGAACAAAGGGTTGGATAATTATGACTGATAGGGATCTTATCTAGTGTCCCCAGAACTAAGAAGCATCTTTATCTATTTACTCACATTCAATCATAGGTGGGGCTAGGGGAGTTTTATGATTACAGAGTTATGCAGTCTTACAACTAGGCTGATCAGGAGCTCCTCCCTCCCCAGGTGAGGCCTTTCTCTCCTGTGTCGCTACTGGGTTCTCAAGGAGCCAGGACTGCTTCGCCTTTGGCTGGTGTCACCTTGCCCTTGAGTGCCACAGGACACAGACCACTGAGGCCTCAGGTGTGACTGGTCTGTTTTTTGGGGTTTTTTTTGGTATGGGGGATTGAAATCGGGACCTTGTGCTTGAGGCAGGCGGCAGAACCAGTGAGCTAAATCCCCGGCCCCTTAAATCATTTTTTGTCTTTTGTCTACAACTAAAAAATTTGCGAATGAGGTGGGGCTATTTGGGAGGTGGCTGAATCTAGAGTATATGATGCTGTTATTAAGGGCGTGTGATTACTAAACCACTACACATGAGTGATTCGTTTAGCACCACCATACTCTAAATAAGATAAAAGGGGCAGGAAGGCACTGTTAAGGTCCCTTGTTGTTTTTGCTACTTTGTGCTTTCCATGTTGTTTCTCCTCTGCAATGCCTGTTGACCATCCTTGCCTTGGAGTCAGCCAATTACGGACTGAAACCTCTGCAAACTATAAGTCAAATAAACCTTTCCCCCTTTACCTTTGGGTGTCGGGTATTTCGTCTCAGCAGTGAGAAAGTAACTAACACCCTCACCAAGCTTGGTGCCCCTCAGTTGTGGGTTGGGTCCACTGTGTACCTGTTGGAAATCTGGGCCTCTGTGTCGCCCCTTGGGGTCTGAGTAGTGGACGAGCACTGAAGCACACGTGATGCTCCTGTTGCTTGCTGTGCTGTGAGCAGTGAATTCCTGTGTGTCCGACCAGGAGTCTCCTGTCTTTGGGTCTGACCAACTCACCAGTCTCAACTAAGGTGGAATTCTACTGTAAGACTGAGGGCCTTACCAAACGCTCCGAGGAGCTGACTAGTGAAGCACACCCAGGAATCCCAGCGGTGCCTTCAGAATGTAAGACCAAGAGCCTTACCAAACGCTCCGAGGAGCTGACTAGTGAAGCACACCCAGGAATCCCAGCGGTGCCTTCAGAATGTAAGATCAAGAGCCTTACCAAACGCTCCAAGGAGCTGACTAGTGAAAGCACACCCAGGAATCCCAGCAGTGCCTTCAGAATGTAAGACCAAGAGCCTTACCAAACTCTCCAAGGAGCTGACTACAGCGAAGAACACCCGGGAAGGAACACACCGGACAAGTTGGAAAACAGACCTTTATTAGTCTGGCCAGACAGCACTCCCAAAGCAAAATAGCTTAGAGAGGCAACTGGCTCAGAATCCGAGGCTGTTTTTATAGGGGGTTGAGGGGGAAGTTAACATATAGAATTAAAGAAAAGGGGACAAAGGTTAGTGGTTGACTGTCACATATTGATGGTCAGCAGACAT